CGACCCTTCTTGGTTCGGTCGTTGAGGGTCCTCTTGATCAGGTTGTCGAGTTTCTGCGTTGGGGTGGTGTTAACCGGGATGCAGGTTTCTTTGTCCTCTAATAGCTTGTTGGCTTTTTGCAGTTATTGTGATTTGTTCATAATAACTGTGGTTTGGCCTTTCTCTGCTGGGAGGATGACGACGGTTTGGTCCTTCCTTCGGCTGTTGAGGGCTGCCCTGTCCTCTGCTTTGAGTTGGTGTTGATATCGTGTTCTTCTGATCTGTGGTATGATTGTCTGCCTTATGTTTTCTTGGGTCTCAGTGTTAAAGGAGTCTCCACCCACTCCTCCCCAAGCTGGATTGCTGCAGGGCGGTCTACCTGGGGCTGCCCTTGAAGAGTGTTTGGAGGCTTCAGCTGGGCAGCAAGGGCTGGCACAGGCAGTCCGTGGCATCTCTTTCTGGGCGCAGGAGATTAAGGGTGTGCAAGTCCCCTTTGTGATTAAGGATGCTGGCAGTCCCCTTTGAAGCCCTCCATGGATGGGGGCTGGGCCACTTATTGGGGCACCTCTCTCCAGTTGTCCCATCCGGTCCGGCAGGAGGGGCCCGTTGGGGGCCCAGGAGGAGAGACTTTTCTGCCATGGCCCTGCCCTCTGGAACAACAGCCCCGCGGAGGGCAGACTGGCCCGACCCTGCTGGCCTTTCAAAGGGCCCCGAAGGGCCCATTCTGTGCCTGTCTGGGGTCCGGGTGTGTGACAGACCCCTCTGCAGAAGGGTTCCTGGCTTTTTCGAGTGATTCTTCCTGGCTGCTGTGTGTTGTGTGGTTGTTGTGATGTTGTTTGGTGTGTGTTTATTGCTGAGGCGGGCTGGATAATTGAGAATGGCAAAGAGCGTCAAAAGAAGTTCGTCTGCGCTCCGCTGAAGATGGAAAAGCTTCCGGTTGTGGAAATTGTGAGAAAAGCTGGAATCCCAGAAGATCTCCTGGTGCTCGCGAAGAGCTTCTCTGCAGGCCAGGAAGGCCCGTCCGGAGGGAACTCGCGATGCCGACGGGCTCCAGGCGGGTGAAGGAGGGCAGCCAGGCTGCACCCCCCCCTTTATTCACCCCTTCATTTGCAGCCCCTTGATTTCTCCCTTGAACATGGCCGATGGAGGACAAGCCAGACTAAGGGCTGCTTCGTGCCGCCAAACCAGGTTCATGAACTGCAAGGGCTGAGTTCACACAACCCCTGATGCACAAGCAGAGGGTCCCCTTCTGGCAAAGGAAACGTCTCCAGCCCAGGATACAAAGCTGCTCAGATGCCCGGCCCTTTTAGCCACGCGAAGCCAGTCCTGGGACCCCCACAGCCACCCCCTCCTGCCCCAAGAGGCTGATTCCCACCACCCCCAGATCCTCAGGCTCTTCGCCTCCCAGAGGTCAGGAGGAAATCCCCTTGGCCCAGAGAAGTGCCCAGATCGGTCCCCCCGGCTTTTCCCATTAAGGACCTGGCCACCCTTTAGAGTCCCAGCACCCCCAGCCTGGAGTCCCCCCAGGGCCTTGAGGAAGCTTCAGAGGGCATCCTGTCCACCCCCTCCAGGTCCACAGAGAAAAGGAGAGCCCGGCTGAGAGTCTTGGGGAGGGCAAAGGAAGGAGATGGTCCCCTCTGAAATGGCAGGAGACCCCCTGGAGCTGCAGCCCCCCAAGACTGAAAGCATCCCCCCTCCCACTCTCTCATCTTCTTTCTGTGCTCTGAACTATCTCCTGCACTGAGCGAAATCCAGAGAGGCTCTGCCCAGAGACTGATGTCACTGCAGGAGGGAGAATTCCCATTGGTCCCTCTGCTTTTCTGGGCTCTCCCAACGCTGACATTTGAGAGAAAAAACGCTTCCTGCCCCCAGTCCAGACCCACTGATTCCGCCTCTGGGGCTGGAAGCATCTGTGTCTGCCTCCTCATTCCCGGGGGTTGCTTGTGGGGCAGGATCCATGGGCTCTGCAGGGGTTCCCCTGCTGCTGCTCCTGGTGGGGGCCCTGTCCCGGATCCCTGGAAGCGAAGGGGGTCAGGAGCCTCCCGGTAAGGAGGGGGGGTGGAGGGGTAGGAAGGGGGCTGGGAGGGACCTCTGATGCTGGGGGGAGAGGGGAAGAAAGGGGCTGGGATCCCCAGGAGCGACCTTCGGGAAGGGGTCGAGGCCAGGAGAGCCGGGAGCCTGCAGGACCCTCGATCTCCACGTGGCCTCTGCCCCCTCCCCCCCCACCCCCCCCCAGGAGGACCGAGAGGGACCCCCTTCCCTGGCTGTGACCGAGGTGGGGAGGGGGTCGTAGGAAGGCAGCCAAATGAGACCCGGATCCGGAGCCCCCAAAGTTTGTCGCCTTGAAGGAGGAAGGAGAAGAAAGTGAAAGAGAAAGAGGGAAATCGCGGCGTTTCCGTTCCTAAATCCGCGCAACGAAAAGCCGTAGAAGAAAAAGATGCATTTGGGAAAAAACCTTTTTGCACCTTCAG